GATTAATATTGGTTGGATCTATCCAATCCAATGGATATCTAATAAGAATATCCAATAGATGGAACCGAACTGATCCAATCATCCATTGGACTGGATTGGTTCGTTTAGAAAAATCCAACATCCAATGGATGATTGGATCGCTTCGGTTCTCATCATATTCATCAGTTCCCATCATATTTGTTGTTGATTGATTCATGTGAGGGTTCTTTCAGAAACAACTGCAACTTTACTTAGACAGAGTTGATTTAGCTTCTTATTAGAAATTGGGTTTCAGTCTGATGGCTTCTCATGCCGAATTACCAATGAATAGATTCTTGTATTGTGCTAAAAATATGAATCTTTTATCCATATATTGTCCGTTGTTACCGACTTATTGGATTCATTAGATGCATATGTTGATCTTATTATCCTTTCAGGTTTAAATAGATTGGAAATGTGTTGTAACTCACATGCTCTTACTTTTACTTTCGGTGATTGTCCAATATAGATCCACTACTCAAGTTGGCAGCCCTGAGAAGTATCATCTAGAGTCGGAGGTGTACAAAAGTGTAGTTGCATTTGATATATTTTCTGAAAAATTTACTGACAAGCAAACATGTGAGATTGAGAATAAAGAAGTAATTACTTAACTGTGTGTGCCTTTGTTCTTGTGCTTATTTCATATTTCTTCCAATCTGTAGGCTCTAGGGTTTTGCTAGCGAGTTCTCATTGAACTGCGACATGGTGTATTGGGTCTTTGGTGAATTCTTGACAGATGACTCAAATAGCCAAAAATGGAGGTAACCAATTGCATATTTCTTTTCTTTTTTATTTTTTCTATTGAAATTAAACTAAATTTGTCCTAGATGGATGACTCAAGTGACTTTTGTTTGTTGGAGTTTTTGGTCGCTAACATCATCATCACTTTCTTTGTTGATGACTATAGGAATAAATAATGAACATCATGTTTCTAATATGTAAACTCTTGCAGATCCATTTGAAGTTTATAGGGTACTGAGAATTGTGAACTTCAGTCCACATTTATAAGTTGTTCGCTCTTTCTACAACTTAAAACTTTGGCAACTACTTCATGATGTCTTATGGGAATGCACATGCTCAGACAATATCTGGAAATCATTTGAAATGTAATAGGATGTTACTCATTTTAATTGGGTTTTGAAAGATGTAACACGAGGTCAAATTACGTCTCATTCGAAAGTCTATTGCAAATATATTTTGGGTAGACGAATTCTTTTTGTAATTTTATGTCATGTATTATTTTGTAATTTTTAATCATTTTGAATATAAAATGAATTGCATTAGGAGTGCTCCAAAAGTTTTATTTAAAACAGGGCACTTTCAATGCTTGTAATTTTTTTTGGATATTTAGCCTTTAGAAATGATTGATGAGAAGATTTATTGTTGAACAGGGTTGTGTTGTTGTGTTGTCACTCTGGATCTTATTCATTACAACCATATTTACAATAGCAAAAAGGTTTGTTTATATACACAATTCATATAAGAGATTCGTTTTTTAATGAATAATTTTAGAAGTTACTAAAATCAATATTTTGGATGGATGTATATTTGAATTTAAATTAGGTACAACTGCAGTAGGATTTATTACATCTAGATAGAAGTTGATTTCTCAAAATTGAATAAATCTTATTGAGTTTTTTACATCCCGCCGCATTGCGCGGGTAGACAACTAGTGGGAGGAAAAAGAAGGAAAGGAAAGAAAAAAAAATTATTAAAGTTAAAATATCTATAAATTATACATTTACCCATCAATTATATTTAACTGTAAAAAAATCCGAGAATATTAGAGATTTGAAGCTGTTTTTTTGTTCTAACAGTTTCTTTAAAATGGAAAAATCAGGGAAAAGATGAAAAATATGAAGAATCTGTAAAATTAAATGCTTAAAAGAGATAATTGTTTTTTTTATTAAATTGTTTTCACTAATGAGGTGGAGTTAAATTGGTATATCATATAGAAAACTTATAAAAGTTTACTCGGATGATATTTATATAACATTTTAATAATATAACTAATGCTGGATTTTTACAAAAATAAAGGAACTGGTGAAGTTGAGTGTTACTTTTTTAATTTTTACTTCTCTATTTAATCTATATTATATTATAAAGTATTTAATAAAAACTCTTATAAACCACTTTTCATACATCGAGTATTGTATATTGATGCATATTACTTCAAATTAAATATTTCAAGTAAATTATGTGTGAGTACGACTTACTAAAGCTCTGTTTTTGAATTCGTGTAACTAACTACAGATAAACATAATCATATACAATAAACATCTCATTTTAAATATAAAAAATTTAAAATATAAAAGTAGGATAATCATTGAGTTCCAACAAAATACTTAAATTTATTATTTTTATACAAATTTATATTATTAAATCAAAAATAAATTGCTTCGTAATCAAACCTAAATTAAATTATAATAAATAAATTGAATCAAAGAAATTACAAAAAAAAATTAGAATTTTTAAATACTTAATTTGAAACTAATATCGCTATAATTTTTTTCAAAATTTTGATTATGATATCTTCAAATTTGTATTTTAATCACTTTTTCAAAACCACATAAAACAATATTATATCAATATAAATAACGAATAAAATGAAACATTAAAATTGAGATGTTTCTCGTTGCATTGTGCGATTATATTTCTAATATATATATATATATATATATATATATATATATATATATGTATGTATATAAATTTGCATAACACCTAAGCATTATAAAAAAAACTTTGTCATACACTTTAAGATCATTTAAGAGAGAACCAAACATGTTGTAGACATCTGTAAGAGATTCGTTTTTCTGCATACAAACAATTCATATTGTATTAAGACTAATCTTTTTTACTTTGCTTAACGTTAGACGTGCCTTCATATAGAACAATGAAAGTGTTCCACGTCTCGTGTGGTTGTAAGGTTTATAATAGAGTGTTAAACATCCATCAGGTAAGGACATCAGGATGATTTCTAACCTTGCTGTCAGCTGCAACTTGCTTCTTATCATCATCTGTCCACTAATCTAGAAATTTGACGATTTGTCTTCCTGGTCCAATGACTTTGCCATTTCATCACGATAGGTAGTAGGAACAAATGGCAGCTTTTAAGAACGTTGAGAATTTGATTGTCAACTCTTTCAATAAAAAGAATCATACTTTTCCAAAGAGAAAATTTGTTTTTTTTAAACGAGGAGGTTTACATTAGGTGTCATTGCTATTATTTGTGGAAGTCATTACAGATCTTATTTATGAAATTAAACAAGCAACTCTGATATCACTTGTTGAATACAAACACAATAAGTTTCCATTTTTTAATTATGTATGCTTATAAAAACAAAGAATTACATATTTATTACAAAATATAGGAAGGTAAGACATGATCTTAATTGATGATACATTTGATCACAATTGAGAGACTGAAAGAATATGAGAAGATTCTCTTTCAGATATGAAGAGCTGATAAAGTCTTCAAATGTTGATACCCATTTATACCAAAAGTTTTTTAGGTTATTTAACATGTTGTTAGCAACAATGAAAAATGGACCCAAGTCCACGAACAAAATGTTGACATGAAAACTTGGGGAAGAACCCATCTCAACGAACAACAATCGGATTACATACAATTTACCATTTCCAGACCACATAAAAATCCAATCACTCCTTTCCTAATTTCCCCTTCTAGACCCATCTCTCTCTCTCTCGTAAACCCACCAATATCTCGCTGAAAGTTCGCAGGCCTTCACATCAAGCATCCATTTTGACATTTCTGTTCGAGGAAGAAAGGGCGAGACAAAGATCTGACCTTTGATTTGAAGACAAAGTAGAAGGATGGGCCTAAGACGCCTTCTTACCCAGGTCTATATTTCAACAATTTTTGCTCTCTTTTCCTATTTACTGTATAGATTATGTCAATGATGCGTTCGAGGTGTTACACTTTTTGGAATCTCTTAGGGTTACATACGAAAATAAAGAAAACCCTAATCTCATTATTAGATTTTAGGGTTCTCACGGACCTCCTTCAAACAGCTCCAATATGGTTTGTAGCTCTAGCTTGGTTCAATTTTTATTGGCATTTGGTTGCGTACATATGTGGTATGTTTTGAAGCTTAAGTCTGACTCTGACAAATTGGTGGACTGGCTATGGCTTTTCATTTTTGTTGTTGCATTTAGTTGAATTTGATATACTGAATTTAAAGTCTTTTCATGATCATGGTTTTTTTTGAATCCCACCTGCTGCTTTGTTAAGAATCGGTCTACCTACCACCTGTAGTTGGACAACCACATAGTTGATTTCCTTTATAAGTGGCTTAGCTTTTCAAATGATGCTTGGTCATGCTTTACACATAGAAGATACATGTTTACTGGAGACAGTTAATAATAAGTATTAAGTTAAGCTGGTGGAAGAAAATTTTATAATGGCATATTGTTAGGGACCCTTTAAGGGTGTTGTGTTGCTAAACATACCTCCTAAGGTCAAATCGATACATTAGAAATGTAAAAAGGGTTGAGTTCGACATGTGTGAGTGGGAAATTTATAGGGGGGAGGTTAAACAAACCCCCCAATATGCTAAATCTCCTCTTACTGATAGTGTTCTTTTGATGGCTCCTTGTTTGTTTGGTGATTTTCAAGTCCTTGATTTTTTGTGCTAGCTTCATTGCTTATATCAGCCTTCTTGGTTCCCACAATCTCAATGCCGTGTGGATATCATCCGTCAATCCTTTTACAAAAGTTCTCACCTTTACCTCATTGGGTAGTCCCTGAACCTGTAGTGCTAATAACTTGAATCTACGACGATTATTTCAACTACGCGATCGTGTGTGGGGGAAGAAAATTGCTTCACTAACAGACCCCTACGAGCCTTGAAAACATTCCAAGATTTGTTTCGAGAAATCTCGCCGGTTGGTAGCTCTCAACCTATTGATACCATGCGAGCGCCTCACCTTCCTTACAAAATCTCAAGACTTGAGTCCATCGTATTCGCTCATCTCGTTAACTATATAGTATCACTCAGTTTAGCCAATTCGTCACATCATCGACATGATGACATCTGAAGTTTACAGGCATTTTGTCCTCCCTTATATGGATGTGGTACACTCAATGCTTGCTGTCGACTAGTTCACCATTGATCCTATGGTTGCTGAAATTTTTGGGCTGGTAATTGCCTTCACAAACTCTCCTGGGGCCTCTTCATTGGTTAATTTCTCATTTCTGGTGTCGACAAAGAGGTACCAAGTAGGTCCATATTGTTAGGGAACCTATCAGACTAGATTCACACGAGCAAACACTAATTATGAAAGTGAACAACATACAATGACACAGATTTACGTGGTTTGGTCAATAATTGACTTACATCCACAACCACATTAACGAGACTCATATAATTCAGCTTAGAGTTTTGCAATTACGATGAGGTGTATATATAATGAGACCTTCGTCAAGGCACTTGTATCCTTGATCTGTAAGCTTTATACTCAACAATGTCCCTCTTGGAGGCTGGTCACGTCACTTGCACTCCACTCAAGTACATCTAGTAAAAACCTAAACTACAAACAATTGTCAGCTAGTGTAGCACTTTGTCATCAATCAACTTTGAAGGCTGGTTGAAGCTATACAAAGCATCGACTTTTCTATAGTGACCACCTTGGTCAACATATAAGCAAATTCTTGGAACCAAGGATCTCTGTGAAGGTCTTAAGGATGAAAAATCATCATTAATTGGTTCCTTGATATAGTGATATTAATGATACCTTAGTACCATGAATCACATGATTCACTGCAACACCTTGTTTTTTGTTCTATTCCTCAAGAAAAACCTTCAACCAAGTCATTTCTTAAATAACGCTTTCAATAGCCATATAATCTGTTTTTGTGGTTGAAAGGAGAACACTATTTGAATCGAGCAATCAACTAATTGTTGTGCCATTATGCAAACATACCCTAGAGTGCTTTGCTTGCATCTGAACAACCACCCAATTTTGCATCAAATTGTTCTTCCAAAATCACATTACTTTTTTTTGGAACACAATGCAACTCTAGAAATTTCTTGCAAGTACCATAACAACCACTTGACAACTTTCCAGTATTTCTTATTTGGATTTTACAAGACTTTGCTAACAACTCCCTCTACATGAGCAATATTTATCCTTGCACATACCATCATATACATTAGACTACCAACTGTAGATGCATATGGAACCTTAGCCATTTCTTTCTCTTTATCTGCCTGTGTGACTGTTTCTTCTTGAGCTTGAAGTGGCTTTCGAAAGGCTTGCTTTTGATCTTAGCATCTTGAAGAACATTCTCCCAATATACTTTCTTTGGGAAAATTTTAGAACATCTTCAAATCTGTCTTTAATGATGCTCATACCGAGTATATGCTTTGAGGACCCAAATCTTTCATTTCGAACTCTTTAGGCGTTTGTTTGTTCAGTATGTTGGTTTCCCTCATGTTAGAACCTGCAATCAATCTATCATCAACGTATAACATTAAATATGATATAGGATGAACCGAGTTTCTTTAAGTAGCAACAATGGTCCATAAGACATCTCTTATGCCCACTCCTCATAGAACTGTCAAACTTTAAGTGCCATTTTCTTGGTGCTTGCTTCAAACCATATAGACTTTTCTTCAATTGCAGACTAAGGGGCCGTTTACTAAACGCTTATCCAGTAAGCGCTTACCGGTAAGAGTCAACTGTTATACCCTAACTTGAATCGTAACAGGAAACGTACTCCTCAGCCTAAATCGTAAGCAGTAAAAACACAATAGCAGAATTACAGTAGCTAGAACTCGWCGATTGTAACATACRTGAATGAAATTGTCGGCCAATCTATTGAGATATGAAAACGATGCAGTTCCCAGACTTTCGAGAGGTCTGGGTCCTCTCCATGAGCTTACGCTCCAAACGACTCTACTGAAAACACAAAACAGAATACCCGACTACTACCAATAGCTCATTATTTAAGCAAACATAATTACCAATCTACCCCTCTTTTATTCATGTTTAAAGCAAAGACTAAACAGACTCAACTAACTCCTTCTGTACGTAAACCTCAAAGGAGGTTTATCAATACTCCCCCCCAAAAATTTCACCTTGTCCTCAAGGTGACAACTAGGAAATTGCTGAAGAGGTGCTTCAAGATTCTCCCAAGAAGCTTCAAAGCTTGATAATCGATACAAAACCGCCAACTTCCATCTTTTTTCTTAACCAACAATACTGGACTGGAGAAAGGACTCATACTCGGTTGAATAACTCCTGCCTCGAGCATCTCTTTTATCAATTTCTCAATTTCATCTTTATGATAATGAAGGTAACGATATGGCCAAACATTAATCGTTTCAGTCCCTTCCCTTAACATAATCCCATGCTCCCTACCCCTCTCTGGTGGTAATCCCCGCGGCCTATTAATAACTGATTCATATTCTCTTAGTAGTGGATCCAAAACCACATTTGGTTCTGCCATTTCCTTCGAAAATACCGAACAAGTACCTAATTTCACCAACACATCCTGTCCTTCATGGTTGATCACCTTTTCGATAGCTTTCAGCGACACTATCGAACGTCCCAGAGATGGATCACCCTTTAACGTGACAGATTCTCCCCCACAAGTGAATTTCATTACTTGTAACTTCCAGTTAACATACGTGGCTCCCAAAGACTCCAACCATTGCATCCCTAAGATTACGTCACTATTACCCAAACCCAAAGGAAGAAAATCTTCTCTTATCTCAACTTCTGGTAAAAACAACGTTATCCCCTTGCAAATACCGCTTCCTTTCTCCGTGTTTCCAGAACCCAAAGTAATAGTGTATTCACCTGTAGTTTCTACTTTTAAATTCAGTCTTTTAACTAAATCGTATGATATGAAATTATGTGTTGCACCACTATCAATTAGTACTACCACTTTTTGTCCTTCAATGTCTCCTTTCATCTTCATAGTTTTAGGGTTAGTCAAACCCACAACCGAGTTCAAATGTACCTCTACCTTATCAGTCACTTCAGCTGCATTACAAGCTCTTTCCTCTGTCTCTGGTTCCGTATCATCAAAAGAATCCTTTTGAACTAGCAATACACTAATCTCCCTCTTACACTTAGGGCCAGACGCGTATTTCTCATCACACCGATAACACAAACCCAACGATCCCCGTTGTTGTACCTCTTGATCAGACAAACGCCGGAACCCGGTAATCATTTCATTTGTAAATGATGGTGAATTAACAGAACTAACGACGCTATTAGAAGCATGATTAGGAAAATTACTTTTCAACTTTGGATTAGAATGAAAAGACGAACCTGTCTTCTTGCCATATCCGCACTCTTCTCTCGCGATAACACCTTGTTTTTCAATTCGATCTTCATAGCTATCTCCATTGCTTCGCTAAGTGTCAACGGATCCAAAAGTCTTAATTCCACCTTAATAGATTCCTCCAATCCATTAATGAATTGAAATTAAAAAATCTGTTCCGGAATCCCATTCGACGGCGCCGCGACCTCAACAAATTTCCTTTTGTATTTTTCGATCGATCCTTCTTGCCTTACCGACAGAAACTGTTCACACAACGAACCTGCTGTCAACGACCTAAATTGTCTTAACAACAAATGTTTCAGATCGTCCCATCTTGTAATAGGGTGTCGTTTATGCTCCCATTGGAACCACTTCAACGCATCTCCTTCAAAAGAAATAAACGACACGTCAATTTTCTCTTCTTGACTCAACTGATTCAACATGAAATAACGTTTGGCTCTCAAAATCCATCCGTCGGATCTCTGCCATCGAAAACAGGGATCTCTAATTTGCGCTCCTTCACCGCTGAAAATCGATTCTGATTGTTTCGATTTCTGTCTCTTCGTTCCACTCTTGCAGCTGTTTCTTCATTGGACGAATTGGTCGTGTTCGTTCGATTTACAAAATCGTTCCTCAAATCTTCGATTTGTTGTACAATACGCTCCAGACGTCTTTCGATTGATCCTACGCTACTCTCCAAATCTTCAATTCGGTTGTTAGTGCTTCGAGTCGTGACATTCGCCATCTCTAATCGTAACGTGCTCTGATACCAATTTGTTATACCCTAACTTGAATCGTAACAGAAAACGTACTCCTCAGCCTAAATCGTAAGCGGTAAACACACAACAGCAGAATTACAGTAGCTAGAACTCGTCGATTGTAACATACGTGAATGAAATTGTCGGCCAATCTATTGAGATATGAAAACGATGCAGTTCCCAGACTTTCAAGAGGTCTGGGTCCTCTCCCTGAGCTTACGCTCCAAACGACTCAACTGCAAACACAAAATAGAATACCCGACTACTACCAACAGCTCACTATTTAAGCAAACAAAATTACCAATCTACCCCTCTCTTATTCATGTTTAAAGCAAAGACTAAACAGACTCAACTAACTCCTTTTGTACGTAAACCTCAAAGGAGGTTTATCATCAACGCTCGAACTTACTTTACCGGGTAAGATTGTAGTCCATCAAAACGGCATCGTATGCAACAATTTACCTTGTAAGTGCTTACTGGGTAAGAATCATCACCCTCACTTACTGGGCAAGACTATTGCTCTTACCAGGTAAGATTCTCAGCCCTTGCCATGTTCACCCTGTAAGGAAAATGACATGGTAAGCGCTTACCGAGTAAGCGTATAGTAATTGGCCCCTAAGTTTTCTTTCCGTGCTACCTGAAAGCAAGCACTCGTCTGGTTATGTCGTGTAGGTGTGGTAAGCGCTTACCGAGTAAGCGTTTAGTAATTGGCCCCTAAGTTTTCTTTCCCTGCTACCTGAAAGCAAGCACTCGTCTGGTTATGCCGTGTAGATGTCCTCAAGATGATCATGTTAGAATGTTGTCTTAAAATCTAACTATTATAGATGTAAATTCTTTGCGGCTATAATACTCAACACATGCCTGATAGTAGTCATCTTCACAACCGGAGAAAATATCTCATCGTAGATTTGTACTCGATACCTCTTATCTGTTCCCTTGACCACTATCTCGTGCCTTGCATCTCTTGTTGCCATCATGGTCAAAGATGCAAGTCCTCTGCAGCCACAATATTTAACACGAGTCTGACAGTACTCATCTTCACAACCAGAAAAAATCTCATTGCAGTCTACACCTCTTTTCATTGAATCCTCTTGACCACTATTATCTGCTTGTATCTCTTGTCGCTATCATGTTCTTCTTTGACCCTAAAACGCCTACTTATTCCACAAAACCTTCTTTTTGTTTGGTAACTTCGATGATCTGACTCTTGTTCTTTTTTAAGAGAGCTCATGTTCTCTATCATACATGCTTCACCAAATGAAGACTCTCATTTGTACTGCTTGCGCCTTCTGACTCTTACAAACATCATGGCAAACAAACATCACGCACGTCGACTCTACTTCTCAACACATATTGCCTCCTAAATTGAGGCCAAAAATGATGTTTGTGTCTTAGCCTCTCATCAGCCCAAAGCGAAACCCCCGTTCTTGCCTAATTGTCTTTCCACTATCCTCTTCTTCTTATGACAAGTCATCTCCTACTTTGTAGTCGGCTCCTCCCTTCTAGTCATTCAATAGTTGGCCCCATACCAGTCGTCATTTATGTTGCAGACATCCTCTTAGCCAGATAGCCAACGTCTTCGGTCGCTGTTACCTCCATGCGCTGTTGAACTCACCATGCTTGGGTTCGACCCCCAATCGGCCAACTGTCACCACCTCCCTTAGTTATGATATTCTAGCTCATCAGTGGTTTTTTTTTTTTTTTTCTGGCTTTCTGATTTACTACTACTCAGAGCCTCATTTATTACTACCTTCTCTTTTTTTTTTCTACGTTCTCACCATTAACTCTCTTCTTTTTTCTCTACTCCCTCTACCCACCATTTGCATCTTGTTGATGTCGCCTTGCGACTCTGGTATTGGGTTTCGATTATATTTTGGAACAACTTCTCAATCGATGCAATTTTTTGATTCACGCCAACAAACTGCTTCGACACCATAACTCTCACTTCTCCGATTTCGATTCCCATCTTTTCTCCTTTTTCGTTCACTTTTTCACCACCAATGGTCCCCCGGACAAATCACCTCTGATACCAATTAGATAAGAACCAAGATAATTTTTTATCAAAAACTGAGGAACCAAGAACACAAATCTCGGCCCGCTTACTTGATTCATTTCATGCTCGAAATCCGTCATTGGCTAAACGCTCATTTGGTTATGCCATTTTGGGCTTTGCTGCGTCTGGCCTGTCCTCTAGGCACCTTTGGAAGGCTCCATACCCTCAATGGTAAGCGAGATAGAAAGGTTAAAGACAAGAGCCAACTATCTCCGTTTTTAACGCCCAATCTAACACTAAATTAATTATCTAATTCTTATGAGAAGTCGCTCAACACTATGTAAATTATGCTTGACTTTGAGTATGTAATATACGTTATAGATTCACTTGACTCAATCTTTGCTTTCACCAATATCACCCCTTCCTTGAATTAAGAGCCTCTTATCATCACTGGTTTGAACCCTTATTTGAAGAGAATTAGCAAAAGGCGCAACATATTTTTTTGGGGTCATGTGGTTACAACAATCGTTATCAATATGCCAAGCATGATTTACATCACAATTGAGAAAAACACTATCTGCATCCCTGCAAGTCTTCTCATGTGTGAATGTAGACTTCTATTTTCTTCAGGAAGTCCTTTTCAACAGTTCTTGATAAGTATGCCCAAATTCTTTGCAATGATAACACCGAACTTTGTGATAGGAGACTTTTCTTTTCGTGATTTGGGAGTTGGGACTTTCCTTTTATCTTTGCCAGATATTTATCTCATTTAAGTTCAAGACCAAAAGACATGCTTCATAGTTGATGAATCAAATTGCTGCATGCAAACCTCATATGAGATTTGAATGGTCATAACAAGCTCTGAAGCGACAATGCGGGCAAGTTCTTTGATTGCTATGACAATATGTTCGAATTTTCTAGGCAAACTTCTCAATATCATCTCAACAACCCTTCATCTCCATGATTTCACCATTTAATCATATTTGATTCACAAGTGCAATCACCCATTGCAGAAATCTTTGACAGTTTCAGTGTCTTCAGTTTTTAGCAGATCAAACTCCTGGCCAAGGGTCTGTGATAGGATGTCAAAAGAGTACCCCATGTTTTTTTCACTGATATAGCGGCTGGTATATGTTCAAAGAATGGATTGAGAGAATAATTAGTGCCTTCTTGTTCTTTTGCTGGTTCTTCAACCTCATTCTCTATTACAGCCCATAGATCTTACAACTTGTACACCATCTTCATCATGATGCTCAATTGATGATAATTTTTCCACTGAAGCAAGGAAGTTGGGGCTTTCAATTACTTATCCGTGGATGCTATTTTCCGTTCACAGTTGTTGTTTCTGAAGTGAGGTAGTTTTTCTGAAGTTCGACTAACCTAGTAATCTGGATCGGTATCACTTTTTTGTAAATTAAGAACGAAAACAGCAATTCTCAAGTGGAAATACTGCAGAAATTTTGGAAAGAAGACTGCAGCAATATCTTCTACTGCTCCAACAAAAACTGCGTGTTATTATTGAATAAATTGAAAAGGCAGTTTATTATCTGCATTTCATTATAGTTCAAAAAACTGTCTAGAATGTAACTTTTAAGTATTTACATATACGATGTACATATACAATGTTGAAAAATGTGATTCTGAAGTGTATTTACATGTCTATGATGCACCTTGGGCTCTTTGTCACCATTTGATTTGCTTTGACATCATGATAAACATGATTTGTTGATCAATATTACAATTGAAGTGCCGTACTTGGGGAATTTCTGCTTCCTGTTTTGCAATGTCTTGTGGATTTTTCATGTGAGCTTGCTTACTAGATCATGATGTTGACAGCAATGTCATTGGTTCTAATGTATATGCTGCATCTCTTTGTTTCGAGCAAGTTTGGAGTGGAACAATTTATTTTATTCGAAGGGAAAACGTCATGTTTGGTTACTGAACTGGAATAGATGAGGCATTAGATTAGAACCATTTCGTAAATAATGTTACTTTTTCATGCTGTATAGAGTGTGATGATGGTTTCTTTTTCAGTGCTGAATATGATACATTATGAACCCTGACTAATATGTATGTATGTATACATACACACACAGATATAGATATATGCAAATACATTGTTCTTTTTTAGTTTCGAAATGCAGTATGTCCTTTTTTATTCTTCTTCTTTTATTTAATCCACATGCTTGTGTTTATTTGTTTATATAGGTCTCAAGACAACAATCACAATTGAGGGTCGTAAAGAACTTGTATACCAGATCGTACAATACTTATCAAAAGGTCGGAGGTGATGCAGGTATATATGCTTATAAGCTTGTAACGTTGCTTCATATTCCATCCTAAGAAAGAGCTCATAAACAACTCTCTATTACCCAGGAAGATTTATTCTCAAGAATTTTAGGATGGAGTTAATAATCTTTACATTTCATACGCTATTGAGCATCCATGCTTCTTTCATTTACATGTTAGTTGTTGCTGTCTTTATATTGATGGTTTCCATTTGCTTTTCTGAATAATCAATGTCGGAACTTATATTTACTATTAGCATCAACGTTACCTTTGCCCCTTCTAAATCATTTAGAAAAATCCTGATTAATTCCATTTTTTCTTTTGTCATATGTGCTTTGCTAGGGATACGTTTAAATGAGATCGTATTTGTTGGACACTTGATTTATGAAGTAAGAAAAAGCATCATCTCATTAACTCTGTTGTTCCCTCCAATGATTATTATGTATCTGCAGCTTACAAGCTTCCAAATGGCCAAAGAAGGTTTCAGTCCAGTTATGTGGGCAGTTTTGCACGAAGATTGCGTGAACGTGATGCAGACAGAGCAAGCGATTCATCATTACTTAGGGAGCTTTACCATCGAAATGACCCTGAGTCTGTGATAAGACTATTTGAAAGCCAGCCTTCGTTGCACTCAAATTCTTCAGCACTTAAAGAATATGTTAAGGCCTTGGTCAAAGTTGATAGATTAGATGAAAGCGAGTTGCTCAAGACATTGCAGAGAGGTGTGATAGAAATTTGCCCCAATTTATTTAAGCTTTCTACACTCTTCTTCGAGTAGACATTATTTTGGGGAAGAACAAAGGGAATATTCAAATAATCCATCATGATATTACTTCTATAAAGGCGGGTTGAAATGAGAAATATAAATATTTTCAAGAATCCAGGAACCAACTATTCATGTTTATTAATGATGAACATTGATATTTATAATGGAAATATATGATATTTGTGATAATTCATGAATGTGATAAAAGTTCATGATATTCATGATGAGTAATATTATGGTTCTCATTTGAACTCTCCCAACTGTTATAACTTAAGTATTTTTAATTCACACTTTTTTCTTTCATTTCCGTGTAATGATTATTTAATTGTTTGTCAAAATTTCGATTCCAGGAATAGCAGGGTCTGGGAAACCAGCTTATGATGAAGAGATGATTGGTGGCTTTTCAGCCCTCAAGAATGTGGGGAAATCTACAAAAGAAGGCATGTTAGGAACTGCGGCTGCCCCTATACATATGGTGGCTACTGAAGGAGGACATTTCAAAGAGCAATTATGGCGCACAGTTCGTGCTTTAGGCATGGGATTTCTACTAATTTCTGGTGTTGGAGCACTCATTGAAGATAGAGGAATCACTAAAGGTATTATTAGTTTGGTGCTACTTCTTATATGCTGATGTGGTTGTGTTATCAGGCACAACAATTGAACTATTGTTCTCCTACGCAGGACTAGGTCTGCATGACGAGGTGCAGCCAAGTATGGAATCTAGTACAAAGTTTAGTGACGTGAAGGGTGTAGATGAAGCAAAAGCCGAGCTTGAAGAAATCGTTTACTATCTTCGAGACCCTAAGGTAATAAACACATTCGTCAAAGTGTATAGCTCTGAATTGAATCGGGTCCAGGAATATGAGAGATAGTGAGAATTCTTGATCTCACTCTGGGAGCTCATATGCTTCAATTTATATTATGTCTCTTGTTTTCATTTTAGTTCATTCCACAATAAAAGTCAAGGGGTGGCCCTGGTGCACCAAGACTCCTTGGCTTTGAGAGGGTTGGGGAGGGGGTTTTGTTAAGAAACTTCGTGGGGGTGGGCATCCTCAAATGGGTATCCACGTCATCAAATGTTACAAGATTAACATGTTACCGGTCAAAATGAGTACAAAATAGGAGTTTTTTTGACTTTGTTACATTGTTTGAGAAAATAACTTCTTTGTCACTAAATAGGAACTAAATCAAACTTTGTTGCATTTTAATGCATTTTTGCTCTTTTCTAAACAATGATAGTATACACATTCTGTTAGCAGTGAATGTTGAACCTACAACAATTGGATTAAGAGGCTCAGTTGGCCAAAAACCATGGGTTCCTTTTGTACAAGTATTTAAACATAGAGTTGCCTTAGAAAAATTGAATGCTTTTTTTTATAAACCAGCTTGTACGCACCTTGACTAATACCGTGGGCCTGATGTTAACAGCTGGGAAAACCTCCGGTGGCCCTGAGGGGACTCGAACTGGTTGACTAATGGGGAGTAAACCCAAGGCTTGAACAGTTGAGCAACCCTCTAGGGCAATTAGCTCTTGAGCCACGTGGCCCAGTTGGCCATGGTTTTCTTTTATTATCTAAACGTGCCATAGCCATAAATCACAAGGGTGGTGCCTGAGTGGTTTGAGCTTGGGCTCCAAAGGTCAAAAGTGCCTGGAGGTCCCAGGTTTAAATCCAGGGAGGGATAAAAATCCCCCTGTGGCCATGGAGGTTCAAATGTGGTGACTCTGGGATACCCGCAAAGCAGGTGGTTGCTCTGGAATTAGTCGACTTTCATAGCGGGTTGAATATCCAGGTTAATAAAAAAAAAAGAAAAAAGTCTGAATAGTTTGTTGTATATGATTTATTTGGCTGGATACGTAATGCTGTTTAAGAAATCATGAGAAGCATCTGATTTTGCATTTCAATTGTGACAGCGTTTCACTCGCCTTGGTGGGAAGCTACCGAAAGGTGTTTTGCTTGTCGGTCCTCCTGGGACGGGAAAAACCATGTTAGCCAGGGCCATAGCCGGAGAAGCAGGTGTTCCTTTCTTTTCATGCAGTGGTAGTGAGTTTGAAGAGATGTTTGTTGGTGTTGGTGCAAGAAGGGTTCGAGATCTCTTTGCTGCAGCCAAGAAGCGGTCACCGTGTATAATTTTTATTGATGAGATTGATGCCATTGGAGGAAGCCGTAATCCAAAGGATCAGCAGTACATGAAGATGACTTTGAATCAGTTGCTTGTTGAATTGGATGGCTTTAAACAAAATGAAGGAATTATTGTTATCGCGGCAACCAACTTTCCACAATCGCTGGACAAGGCGTTGGTAAGACCTGGTCGGTTCGATCGTCGTGTGGTGGTTCCAAATCCGGACGTTGAAGGTAGGAGGCAGATAATGGAATCTCACATGTCAAAGGTATTCTCTTTGCAATCTAACTTTCACAACAACAAAATCGGCTTTATAGGACGCCAAATATGTCTAAATGTCCAAATAGACCAGACTTTATGACTTAGGATTATAGGACCAACCAATTGTACGTCCTATGTAAAGGTTGATATGATGCTTTTGGGCGTCCTAACAAGTTTTGAAGGACGCTTTTTGAAACAAAGCGTCCTATTGGTCTTCTTTTAAATATGGCGTTATTTGAAAAGACGTCTTATAAAAAACCAGTGTCTTGTAAAAACCAGTGTCCTGTAGTAGATGAGTTCATAAGCTTCCTTTATTTCTAAAGTGCCCTAAAAGACTTGTTAGGATGGCCAAATAGATAATACGCTCAAGTATTTGGTCCTAAAAACTTAAAGTCCTATAAACCAGTTTATTAAGACATTTAACATCTATAAAACCGATTTTGTTGTAGCATTTGATTTTAACTATACATGTCAAACTTTGTTTCTTTTCTTTTATGCATGCCTTGGGTTTTTCTGGGAAACAGCCTCTCTGTCTCGTAGAGCAGAGGTAAGGTCTGCGTACATCTTACATTCTTACCCCCAAACCCTACCTTCAGGTGGGATAGTCCGTGTATGTTTTGTTTGGTTTATACATGGAAAAGACATTATTCTTAAAACTTTTCCAACAGATCTTGAAGGCAGACGACGTTGATTTGATGGTTGTTGCCAGAGGAACTCCGGGATTTTCTGGTGCAGATCTTGCAAATCTGGTGAACGTGGCGGCTCTCAAGGCGGCAATGGATGGCGCCAAAGCAGTTAGCATGGCTGATCTTGAGTTTGCGAAGGACAAGATCATGATGGGTAGTGAACGTAAATCCGCCGTTATATCAGATGAGGTTCGAAAACTGACGGCATACCACGAAGGTGGTCATGCCCTTGTGGCCATTCACACTGATGGCGCTCACCCTGTCCACAAAGCAACAATTGTTCCACGAGGAATGGCTCTTGGCATGGTGGCTCAGTTGCCGGAAAAAGATGAAACGAGTGTTTCACGTAAAGAAATGCTTGCTCGCCTCGATGTTTGTATGGGCGGCAGAGTTGCGGAAGAACTTATTTTCGGTGAAGATGAAGTTACTTCGGGAGCATCATCCGATCTCGAGCAAGCCACTCGTATCGCAAGAGCGATGGTCACGAAATACGGCATGAGCAAAGAAGTCGGGGTTGTGGCTCATAACTATGATGATAACGGGAAGAGCATGAGCACTGAAACTCGGCTCCTTATTGAAAAAGAAGTTCGAGAATTTCTCGAACGGGCTTACAATAACGCCAAAACCATTCTCACGACTTACAGCAAGGAGCACCATGCGCTCGCAAACGCGTTACTCGAGCATGAAACCTTATCCGGGAAACAAATAAAAGAACTACTTGCTCAATTGAACAAGCAGCCTCAGCAACAGCAGCAGCAACTAGTTGCACCTCAGAAGAGTTCACAGTCTAAACCAGTGCCGCCATCCACACCGAACCCCGCTGCGGCTGCCGCCGCCGCCGCCGCTGCTGCCGCGAGTGCCGCCTCCGCTGCCGCAAAGGCAAAAGGTATTGCTCCTGTTGGATCTTAGCAGTTGAGTTGAGTTGGGTTGGTAGGGCTATATTTATGGAACCAATGTGCATATAATGGATACTTGCTGGATGAAATGCTTGTTCTTTATGGCTGCCACTGAGGTCCTATTACCGAATTATGGTGATTTTGAACATGAAGAAAAGTAATAGAGAATATAAAAGAGGCAGCGATAATGTCGAATATGTAGCAGTTATATTGACATATCCTCAAATGCTGATTTTTCTGTTTATTTTCTGAATACGCAACTTTTTCTCTCGGTCGCTTTTTCTTATCGTCTTACTGGTAAGATCTTGAGTTTGTACTGTTCTCCGGTGTTCATATGTTCGAGTCCCCTCGGGGCAATCGGAGGTTTCCTGATTGATAATTTCGATCTCCTTGTGTGTGAGTGTGCCACTAGTGGTTTGTGTGGCAATAAATTTTAAGCCCATGTGGGATTAGTCGAGGTATGTTCAAGCTGATGTAGACACTCACGGTTATCCAAATTAAGAAAATGGTATAAAAGCAGCTCCCTGGACGTTGGGATTTATCATTTAAACTTCAACTTTTTAAAAATGTCGATTTAGTCCTCCCATTTCAAATTTATTTCAAAGTGCTCCAACTTTGGCTGTAAAATAATATGAAACGAGTATACAGACCATAAACCCTAATTAGGGGCTATTTGACAATTGCTGAATGGTTTGGTGCAAAATCATTAAGTGATCAGAATGATTAAGAGACTCTTATAATATAGTGCAAAATGAAATATAATTGTTTGGTAATTGTGTATAATGAAATTAGGGCTCTTAATGATTAAGGAAGATCCATGATATAAAATCATTCAAAATATTTTAGAACTATTAAAAGGTAGATTTTTTTTTGTCAAACAAGATTCACCTCTTAACAATTCGGAGGTTGCTTATTAATGGAACTATTAAGAGGTATACAAACAATCCCTTAGCTTCTAAAGTTCAAATTTAAGGTAATCAAACAATCTCCATTTTGCATTAATTGTCCGATATCAAGAAATATTTGAGAAGATTGTTTTCTTGGTAGCACATTATTTGGACATTCACCAAATCATTTCAAGCATGATTGGTGTGAGGGTTCCAACGAAGTCGTGCTCTCAGCATGTCCAGAAGCACAGGAGAACGTTCTTACTGAAACAAACGAATGCAGATTTGACGGAGTTAAGTGGCAGACTCTGTCAAATCAAAATCGTTTGTTTTCGCTGTAGAAGGAGGATTTTATAAATTGTATGAATTTCACGGTGAGTTTGCACAAGTTTTATTTGTAAATTGGCCATTAGAAGTTAAACCATTGTTTTGTCTTGAAATGAGCATAACTTTGGCCGTCCAAGGGGTGTGGGTTCATTTACAGTATATAAATATCACATATTTTAATAACAAATAAATACCGTATAAAAAAAGCAAAAAAATTACATATATACGCATAAATGATAAAACATGGCTTGGATTTCAATTTTGTTTCTTGCAATTGGAAAATAAATATCTGAACCGTATGAAACAATGTGGACGAACAGGGGCGGACCTACCCTTTTGAGAGGGGGTGGTTGTCTGTGGATCCACTAAATTAATGAAGCATTTAGGTCCTTAAAATGTACGATCATAAATATTTCAAAGTGAAGCCTAGAAATAGAAACTTTAGAGGTTTATATGATTTTTTTTTATAAATAAACACTGCTAAATAAAGGGGTTTCACATACGAATTGATCCACCGGAAAAAGGATCATCGACGGATCTCACAGTTAGAGAAAACGTTTCCTCTTATTGTAATTACCGTAGGGTTGACCATCACAGGCGGCCGTATCTGCCGGTAATTAATAATCCGCCACAACTAGTGAAACCTCTTTGTCTAGGAGTGAAAAATGGAATGATAATTAAAAAAAAATGGTCGAATGCAGTAACTTTGATAAAAGTGACACACACGTATATAGAGGTTTCAAAAGAGAACATCTCTGTTTTACAAAAATACGAGAACATCTTTGAGTATGTAACTTATAATTAAAATTAAAAAGAAAAGAAAATAATAATTAAGGATAATCATGTGATTTCTTATTTATCTGTAATCTTGGTAACTCCATTATTCCTAAAATCAGCTATAGACAATATACTCCCTGATCATAATGAATTACAATATTATCACAGTAAAATCATATAGTTAACAAACAGAGCTGAGATTGTGGACGCGATCATCATTGGTTTTCGTTTATGACATTGTTATCACAACAAAATTACATCATAAAAAGTATTCGATTTATCAAACTATTATCAGATTATTATCACAATAAAATCAGATCATTAATCTACATACGAAGTCATTGACAATACTAACAACATTTAAGGGATAAAGATAAATTTAAGATAACAAAAAATTATAGATAAATACAGAGAAATTTGTTAACATTCTCTTACAAAGTTTTGATAATATTATCAACTAAATTGATTAGAAAATCTAGAAATCAAAATGACATGAAAAACGTAAATTTGATTATTTTAATTGATTTAATTTGATGTTCGATCACTACAAAACTAAGGACTATCAACGATGAACAAAACCGTAGTTAATTCGTTGCTATGCTCCGATTATTCGTTATGCTTAGATTCGTCGCTGATAGTTGTATCTTTATTGTAGTTTCAAAATATATACGGTAACACATAACAAATCGATACAGTTGCACCTTTCAAGAATCTAATTTTTTTACACTACAATGGATGAATGAAACGGTGGCACGTGACACCGTAACCATTGAACTAGATCCGTCCCTGAACCTAGGTCATGCTAAAGGTCATCCGCGTTTCGGATTTAATATCACATATACATCATATGTGATGAACTATAGTATCACATATAATATATATATATATATATATATATATATATATATATAAACGAGGTTCTCGTGTTTTCGTAAAATAAGATGTTCTCATTTGAATCTTTATATATATATATATATATATATATATATATATGTTATGTATATATGAAGCAACACAAATCAGTGATGAATTTGTGGCGAAAATCAATAGAAGTTGATTTGTTTTTAAGTTTTCTAGAATCTGTTGGAAATCCACCAGTAATTATCTGACGGAAGTTTGCCAGAAAATTCTGTCGGTGAAACCCAGTGTTTTAGTAGTGCATGTAGTTTTACATTAATGGGAAAAAAATGTACGAGCAACCTTATGGTAACTTCACGTGAATCACATGTGATTTTTACGTGTTGTTAGTGTAAAATCACATATGATTGAGTTATTTTCTTATTTTTATAAGTATATAGATTGAAGTAAATACAGTTAAACAGTGGCGACAGAAGCTGAAGGCATGAAACAGCAACAGACGGGTCCATACCACTTCTCCCTTGTCATATGAACTGGTACAGTCTTAGAAAACAACAGTGCATATATATATATATAAAATTTAATTAGAAATAAATTTGTTTAATAAAAAAAGAAAAAAAGAAAAAAAGAAAAAAAGAAAAAAGAACATGTGCATGTGCATGTGCATGTGCATGTGTGTTGGAATTTAATGAGAAAGCCAATCACGTGAGGATCTGTGTCGACTACAAAAACAGAATATTTTTGGTTATTCAGATAAAAAAACTTAAAGCCTCTTAACTTTTTAAATTCGACTTTTGCTTTCCAATCATTTTTCTATTTTAATTTTTATATTTATTCAAGTTTAAACATATTTAATGGTCAGCTCACCTCATCGTAAGAAGAAGACTTAAATGTGAGAAGCGTAAGAAAAAATCTGAACCTTTGATCATCTTAACTATTTTTCTCACCAAAATCCAACCCTCGTTAAATTTACACATAAATAATAATAAAATATGAGATATTTAAAAGTTAAAGGAAGGTTTGGTTCATGGATTTTGAACAAATTGGATTGGATAATTCTTTTAACCAAATTTCAAATTCTATGTTTGGTTATTATAATACAGGAAGCCTTTGAATTTCACAAAATAATGAAATCATTATTTATTGGCAGTGAAAGAATTGAATTTCATCTTTGTGCTTCCAATTTAACCAACACTGCCCATCCATGCCCTAACTATGACCATATTACTAGTGTCATTGTCACACCCTAACCCCCACCACCACACGACTACTATCGTCGTCACAACCACTATCCACCCTTACCCCAACCCCTAAACTATCACTGACTAACCATACAACTATTGTCGTCGTCACAATTATTACTCCCACCTGCAACCACCTCGCTCGGCGCCCCCACCCTGCCACCTGACCACCATTCCACTGTTGTCTTAGATACTACTACCGCCTGCCACCCACATATCGCCCAACCCCACCTTCCCCCACCGACCACCATGTATTAATGAACAAATCGAATATCATGTTAAAATAATAAGGGCCATTTAACAAAGGCAAATTGGTAAGCAGATGCATGACAATGATCAAGAATTTACCAAATAAAAAAATTAACGACGACTGATAATCATATATAGTAAGTAAGTGAGAAGACTCTTAGGTGGTGTTTGGTTTGCAAAATGTTTTTTTTTTTGATGAAATGAAATTTGTTAAAGAAATTTGACTTTGAAGAAAATATTGGAATAAAATGTTGTTAGGTTTGACCACCTGTTTGGTTGACAGACATTGGAATGGAATTTGTTAAGGACTTGAAATCTGTCTATTTGGTTAACAGAATGTAGCTTTGGAATTGTAATGAAATATTGGTAAATGACCAAAATGCCCTTTTTGAAAATTTTAGGTTTTTTAAAACTAAAAGTACTTTAATAAAATATTTGTTTATTAATGTAAAACAATATAAAATAGGCAACCCAAATATAACCATAAACCAAACGACGTTACTTAATCAACGGTAGTTGGCGGTGGTTCAGATCGGTGGTGGTCCACGATGGTTCAAATTGGTGGTGGCTGACAGTGGTTCAGATGGCGGTGGTCAGCAATAGTTTAGATCGATATATGGTTGTTCGTGATGGTTCAGATGGTTGTGGCAGCGGTGGTTTAGATCGGTGGTTGTTTAAATCGTTGGTGGTCGTCGGTGATTCAGATCGGAGGTTGTCCGTGGTGCTCCAGGTGGCGGTAGTCGAATGTGGTTTAGATCGACCGTTGGATCAGATTGGTTATGGTCGATGGTGATTCAGATCGGTAGTAGTTGGTGGTGGTTCAGATCGATGGTTGTCCGTGGTAGTTCAGATGGCAATGGTCGACAGTGGTTCAGATCGACGGTTGTCTGTGGTAGTTCAGATGGCAATGGTTGTTCAGATCGGTGGTGT